GGTTCGCTCAAAAGTCAGGAGGCTGAGTCAGGAAGATGTTCACAAAAGCCACAAGTCATTTCAAATAAACTGTTAGTTTATATAAAATTTCAGCGAATACAATCTGAGGCAGCATTGTACATTTTATTAAGAATTTAGGCGAAAATAAGGAGTATATCAGAGCCGGCATCAGATTGAACCGAGGAAGTTATCGCGGGCCCCTCCTAGTAGTCATTGCCAATTAACATCTCACCAAGAGCGATTAGATTCGGGTCACTGGTGCTGCATCTCAACTATCTCCCGTGCAGATGATATTTTATAAATCCCCCCCCCCCCTAAAGCAGGGCAACGGCTATACGGCGAAAAGGAGAGGTTTCATTTGGGCGGTAACCAGGATCAAGTTTTAGTGGAGCCAGCAAAGTTTCTCATTCATTAAGTTGGTAACGGGATGGTTACGAAAACTTGATGACAACTGAAATTTGGTCGATACCGCAATACACTCGTTCCTTCAAAAACCACTGCAATTCTAAAATGAAATCGATTGCATGGCGCATATAAAATAGTGATTTGATTGAATTCTTCAGCCATTATTCTCCCGATTCCTTCACTTATAAATAAAGGCGGTAATTTATCCAGTTAATGTGAATAGGTTATAGTGATTAAAAGTATAATAACTCCGAGGGACTCCCAAAAATCAAAGCCAGAGCGATTTAGAGAACCTCAATCCCACAGCATTAAGGAATTTGGAAGGGCTCCAATCTACCAACCGCACCAGTTCCTAAGCGGATCACCCACAGCATTGATTGCTGTTGAGCTGTGGCTTCCGAGACGGGCTCGCCACAAATTGTCGGTATCGTTTTCGTTAGGTCGACCAGCGACCAAATGTCGCTATATCTCTCGGTTTCACCCTTCACAAGAAGGGCTCATGCACACATGCACGAAACAGCGAGTCATGTGCGATTATTATTCGATGGAGAGCACTCTTGACTCGCGCCTCATACTAATCAGCAGCCCGACCATGAAACACCCGAGCCGACATTGCGTAACGCAGCATGCCAGTCAAGAGCCGCGATATCATAGCCGCATAGCACAAGTGTCATGTAAGCCGACATCTTAAGTGCCAATTAATCAACACGATACATGGCTTGTTTGTTACTGATCTTTATCAGTCAATAAAGATTTGTAATATTTTACTGAAAACAATGATCCGATGAGGAGATATCTGCGCTAGTTGCGCCGTGCATTTGACTATGACTCAGAATCAACGGAACAAATTCTAGTTGAGTGAGAGACCTATAGAGACACTGCAATCAGTGCAGCGCTCAGGTAGATATTTTTCCCGGAAATCTGGTCATAGCCCCCTTCTTGCTTTCCGCTATGTGATAGCGGGAAGGGGGAAAGGTTCTTGTGTTTTTATGCGAGGGTTTCAAGGGTGCAAGCGGCTCATGGGCGCCTGAGTGTAACATCCAACGTTGGTTAACCGCTTGGTTACGCCGCGTATTTTGCATCCATTCAGAATCGTG